GACTATTTAGCTTATTGGTCTTTGGTCACAGAGTGTTTGTCCCATTCGCAGATTAGGTTAACTCGTCACAATTGATTGATCACTGAGTGGTGATCAATGTCATGTGTGTGAAGTCCTTATTTAGTGCAGATCAAATGCTATCAACCATGTTTCAATGTGGCCACCACTCTAGGTGACTCGACACTACGGGCACTGTGTATTGAGATTAGATGGTGGTTGGACGTATTCGACAGGAAACCCTGTACCCGTGTTTCGTGCTACTTGTAATCTTGAGAGAACTGGTGCTCCCTGACGGATTTGATCCCATGTGACCCAGCTTCACAGTCAGAGACGTTCCCACTGAACTATCCGGGCTGAGCTATCTGAAAGCACCAGTTCCCTCAAGATTAAAGTTACACCTTGCTGATGAGTGCCAAGTAGCGCAAAACCCGGATCCATGGTTTATTGTCGACTACCTCCAACCACCGTCTAGTCTCTTTCCATATTGAGTTGCTTTTTAACCAGTATCCAATCGTTTGAAAACTATTCATTTGGACTTATTTTTCGTATTGGACGTTTAACACATTAAATTATTCTGACTTGAAAACTCTTGTTATTTTTTCAAAACGAGTAAGGGATTGTTAAACTTCATATTCTATATCATCGGGATACTTTAAGTGAATAAGAATTTCGAACTAGGAACCACTGAACATTTCTTTCGTCCAGGTGCAGTACTCCATAGCAGTGCGCTTCATGACCTCACCATTGAAGAAAATGAAGACCTTCTAATCTCGTACCAAGTACAAACAGTTCCAAATAACTTTAATAGGCTAATACCTCAGACTGACACAGTTAAATCTCACTGATCACTGTTGTTTATTAGAGCTCTAAGAATGAACTCATGAAATTAATCACTAGTGTGCAAATGCTAATTATCAATATATGGGTGTACCTAGAGATTATTAAATTTTGTTACTAACATTGAGAACTGACAAACTCTTATGTCACTAATAGACAAATATAAATCCATATCAAAAACGTTTTCTCCAGTTTACAGTAATTATTATTTGCTCTAATAATAGATTGTAAACACAGTTGGATGTCGGAAATCGGGAAAACACCATAACAATAACATTATCTTATCAAAGTAAATATATTTGATTGATTCTATGAAATGACTAGTTTATTTTTTTTGATTTTACGGAAGTGAGGGAGGAGTAAGTGATAGAGTTTTCATAGTTTAAGAATGTAAACCGACCAAAGTAAAACTCTATGAAAATATAAAGATAAGGGATAGGGACCGTCTACTTTATTTCCTACAGAAATTGTTATATATATGTATAACTATATTTAGATGCAGATGAGTAAACCATGTTACAAATTATAATCAAAGATGGATAGTGGCTAGCAGTGGAATACAGTTTGATGCACGTTTCGTCCTGTTTGGGACTTGTCAGCTGGATGTACCTGCACCTCAGAGTTAATGTTCACTCAGGGACTCGAACTCAGTACCGTTCGCCTCGAACGCCATCGCGTTATCCACTTAGCTACTGAGTCCTGATAGCCACTTGCTTGTGAAATGGGATGAAGTTTATATCACTCGTTATTGTTTTACTTGAATCTTCCAATTGATGTTTTAGGACTGCAACTGACCAGTCTCTTATTGGCATATGTGCATACTGTGCGTATGCCTCGATATTGTCTTAATTTACAAGCATATAAGCAAAGATGGATAGTGGATTCAACTACTAGCCACTATCCATCTTTGCTTATATGTTTGTATATTATGACAATATCGAGGCATACGCACAGTATGCACATATGCCAATAAGAGACTGATCAGTTGCAGTCCTAAAACATCAATGGGAAGATTCAAGTAAAACAATAACATGTTACAAATGTTTAATTAACCATCAACGTAAAGCGGATTATATGTTTATCTTTAAATAATGAAACTATTTGACACTTTATAGAAGAATTCTCTAAAAAGTAAATAAATAAACTTCATGTAAGTGGTCTTGAAAACAAGTTATCAGAATAATGTCTGACATATATCCATTACAACGTTGAAACAATGAACAAATGATTTTAAATAATACATGTTTAGATCATTTAATATAGGTTTAAACTTATATTCTGGTCTTGTTAAAAGAGACGTTCTATTCCTCTAAATGCCCTGGTACGGCTGAGAATGGAGAGAGTCGGCTCTCTTTCTCGAACTGCTCTCACATGGCCACGCGTATATAGCCTCTGACAGAGGAGTCCTACTCACTGACTTCTTGCCACACGGGTATTGTTTACCAAATTGAGAGGACGAAAAGCGAGTGAACGGTGCTTTAACTGGGCTGGTGGATATAGAGGTCTTACCTTGAGGATTTGAAAAATCCTGATTCAAAACCATTGGTGAACATGAGCTTTAGGATCCTGAAGGAAAAAACAGTGTGTGAACCAATTATTGGTCACCGGCTACCATGGAACTGCATCTCCTAACGTTGTTCTACTGCCTTGTGGATTAGACCCTTAGATCGAAAGATCCGGGCGTAGCTTCCTACGAAAACCACTCACTTTGGTTTGGGCACCCGGACAGTATCACAACTCACACACAAATCAAATGAGTTTTGTGGCACAAATGTATTTGGTGCCCTTTTGTACCAATATTTATGTGTTCAAATAAAAACTTACAGAAATATACTGTTTTTCAGCAATTTTGAACTATACGCTAACAATAGTCAGTCAGTTAGTCAGTAACAACGTAGAACTTCGTACGTACCTACATACGCTAACGACAAATGACATTTTTTTAGATGTAAACTGATTGTATGTAACGTATCAAAGAACCTGACATTATCAACTCATTTAGATGATTATAGTTTTCTGGGTTTTTTTTCATACGTTAATTGTTTTCATTTATTTCTACGATTAGATAATATTGTACAGTCTAAATGTTCATCAACTTCTCAACTGACTTTCTCTCTTATTCTTTCCTCTTAAAGTGTTTCCATCAAACACTACTCATCATATTATTCTCAGTATTCAAAGTACCTATCAACTAAATAACGCTTAAAAATAACCATCTAGTATTATACTATAAAGTATCAATATGGATTATGAAAATTTGGCATAGTAAAGTTAAGTATTAAGGACACTATCAATTGGATTGACAGTAATATAGAAATTAATTATCCAAAATCTAGGCAGGTTTTATATAATCCCTGTTTAAAATGTTTATTGACATAATTATTTTTCTTTTCAATATTTTAAAATAAATAATTAATCATTACATTAATCAACATATACTTATTAGTGACTAGCTTCATAAGGTATTTCCTGGAGTTCTAGTAAGAAGCAATGATCAGTGGAGTTCAATTGGGACTGTTGTGAGAATATAACTCACTGTAGATAATGGTGGACGTGTCGCTCAATTTCGTGGATTAGTTGAAGTTAGACAATAACACTGTTGGATACCGGTTAGCTCAGTGGTGTAAAAGTTAAGCGTTCACACACGAGACTGGTAGGTGCTGGGTCGGAATCCCTCGAGGCAGTATTGTCGATGGGCACTGCCGAGGTGTTCCATTTCTTCCAGGCTTTCCATAGTTGTCCAGCTTCAATTGACTCAGGAATTCAACAATTAAATTACATTAATTTATTTAATAATTAAGATAAAGACAATAATGATAATACTAACAATACTAACAATAATGTGTATATTACTATATTTTTACAATAAACCACTACTCTATAAGTGAAGATAGATAGTGGTTATCGGTGAAATCTAGCAAGCGCGTTTCGTCCTATTTAGGACTCGTCAGCTAGATTTATTTGCATCTCAGAGGCAATACTCGCAAAGTATGCACATATGCCAATAAGAGACTGATCAATTATGGTCCTAATCACCAATGGGAAGATTCAAGTAAACAACAACAAGTGAATTTAAAACTTCACCCCATCGCACAAGCGAGTAGCTATCAATAATCAGTAGCTAAGTAAATAACGAGATAGTGCTTCAAATGAGAAGGCGAAGATTGGCAAAGTAAGGACAACATTCCTACAAGTGAACAACATATCAAACTCAAAACAACTGTCTCTCAATCAATATCAAAGTTACAATCTTCAATACGAACCTCAAGTCAGTCAGTTTACTGTACGGAACTGAAACTTGCAGAACTACTACAACCATCATCAAGAAGGTACAAGTATTTATAATTAGTTGTCTACACAAGATACTCAACATCCATTGGTCGGATACCATAGACAACAGCCTTCACTGGGAGAGAACAAACCAGCTTCCAGATGAAGAAGAAATTAGGAAAATACGATGGAGATGGATAGGATATACATTATGGAAATCACCAAACTGCATCACGAGACAAGCCCTTACTTGGAATCCCGAAGGGAAGCGGAAAAGAGGAAGGCCTAAGAACACATTACGTAGTATAATAGAAGCAGATATGAAAAGGATCAATAGGAACTGGAAGGAGGTGGAAAGGATTGCTTGGGAAAGGGTTTGATGGTGAGTGCTGATGAGCGGCCTATGCTTCTCCCCGAGGAGTAACAGGCGTAAGTAAGTAAGCTTGAAGCGAGTCCCAGAATGAACATCAACTCTAATATTCAGGTACATCCAGTTGACAAGTCCCAAATAGAATGAAATGTGTATTCTGGATCCTACTTCCAGCCACTATTCAACTTTGCTTATAACATTTGTGACTTCAAACAATTTCAAATCAATCCGTCACAGGTTACATATATACCAATAAGACACTAATCAATTAAAATGAGAAGATTCCAGTAAAACAATACCAAATGAATCTTAAATCACTACTTTCAATAGTATCATTGTTTATCGGTTTATTCTCTCTGTTTAAAAAAAGAAAAAGAAAATTGTTACATCAATTTTACTTTTACTAGAATAAAACCGAGATAGAAGCAACCACAACAACAACAACAAAACAAAGGGATAAAACAACACAAAGGTAAATGTCTTAAAATCCAATTTTGAATATCATCTATAGAGAATCATATTATTACGTAAACATAGTCTGTAATAGATTTATACATAACCATAAAACGTTTACAACTTGACTCGTATTACAGTATGAATGATTATTATTATTATTATTATTATTATTATTATTATCATTATTATTATTATTATTATTATCATTATTACTATTATTATTATTATTAGTAGTAGTAGTATATAGGGTATAAGAAAATATGTTATTGTATACATTAATTATATTCAAATCCCTATGGTAATATAACGGAGAAAAATAAAAACAACAAGAATAAAACTTGTTGAATTACATAAGAAAAGATGTTCAAAAATTGGATATTTTCTAGTAGATTTCTTTATTTTTGTTGCTGTCGTTGTTTGAATTACCATGGCAACATAAGATTCTAAATAGTAATCAATGTGGTTAAGTAAATATATATATATATATATATATATATATATATATATATATATATTAGTTTGTTATGCGTGGAAGAAACAATGTATTATATTATCTACCATAATTTGTTATTATATTTATAATCAGGGTGAGGTTTTGTGGAAATTGTAGTAAATTTAATATCAGAAGGGATTTTGCAGAGATTTTAGTAATTACAATAGTTGAAATCACATGTCGATTGAAGCTAGATGATCATGGAAAACCTGAAAGCAGTGGATGGCCGTTTTGTCCTTAATATGGAATTTCTCAGCAGTGCATATCCACAATACTGCCACGCCAAATTTGAACCCAGGATCTATCAGTCTCGCGCGCGAGCGCTTAACCACTAGACTACTGAGCTGACCGGCATCCAACTGTATGAGTGTCTAACTTCAAACAATCTGCGGAATGGAGCCACCGTTCACCATCGACTTCAGTGAGCTGATATCTCACAATAGACCTGGTTGAACTCCACTGATCACGACTTTTCACTAGAACTCCAGGAAATGCATCTTGAATTCAGTCACTAGTGCGTAGATGATTATTATTAGGAAGGGCTGAATTCACGAGTCGATTGAACCTAGATAACCATGGAAAACCTAGGAGCACTGGACGGCTGTTTCATCCTAGTATGGGACTTCTCAGCAGTGAGGATCCATGATCCAGCTCCGCTCACTAATGACTGTCCATAAGAGATATTTCTTGGAGTTCTAGGGAGTAGCCATAACCAGTGGAGTTCAACCGGGTCTGTTGTGAGACTGTAACTTTTTGAAGACAATAGTTGGTGGTGGAGCAATTTTGTGGATGTTATGAAGTTAGACATTGACACCGTTGGATGCCGGCTCAGTGGTCTAGAGGTTGAGCGTTCGCGCGCGAGACTGATAGGTCCTGGATTTGAATCTTGCGTGGCGGTATCGTGGATGTGCACTGCTGAGGAGTCCCATGCTTGTCGTATTTAATCTACACCATAAACCTTGTTTTAGAATTAAATTCATGCTTTGTTTGTTCAAGTCTGATAAATTTAACACATACAAAATGATATGTTGTGATAGACTTGTCTATAATTTATGAAATATAATGAAAATTCAGCCTTTTGTTTCATGGAAATATTTTGTCAAATAATAATTATGTTTTATTTTTTTACCTCCACAAATCCTCACTCTAATAGTAATCATGTACTCATTAGTGGCTAGCTTCAAGATGAATTTCTTAAAGTTCTAGTGAGAAGCCATAACCAGTGTAGTCCAATTCATGTCGAGTGTAAGATAGTTATCCACCTTAGATAATGAATAAAGGGTTGAGTAAGATCATGGATCAATTGAAGTCAGACATTAACATCATTAGATGCCGGCACAATGATCTAGAAGATAAGAGTTTGCACGCGAGACAAAAGGTCCTGGGTTTAAGTCTAGTGTGTAAGATCATGGATGCTCACTGCTGATGAGTCCCATACCAGGATGAAAAGGCTTTCCAGTGCTTCCAGGTTTTCAATGGTGGTCTACATTAAATTGACTCATTAATTCAACTACTATAACGAATATAAGTAATTTTTATTCTGTAAGTAATGAAATCAAATAAATAATAGTACTACTGGTAGCAATCGAATGTAACTATTTAACAGCAAGCAAGTGTTAGAACAGTGAGCTATGATGACTTGGTTAAATGTTTAAGCAACGTAATTATATAAATGTTATAGTTTAATATGCTAATTTGGATTTCCCCAAACTAAATAATTATGGATGTTAAATGAATATGATCATACGATACTATGAACGACTAAAAATAATAATGAAACACTCAAAGTTGAGTACTAAAGTTGTTAGGATAGTTTTCCTTCTATCTATAGTTTGAATAGAAGCGACGGATCCATTAGAATCTATACATTTTATGTGTAATGAATAGAATCATTAGTTGTAATTAAAACAATGAGTGGTCATAATTGTTTATGCAATAATCATGATTTGAATGTATGTGTTAACACCAGTGATGCAAAGAATTCCTTATTATAGAAGATTTATAGTATAGAATAAGACTACCTGAAGTTTGTGATGATGATGTCGTTCAGAAGAATGATGACAGCACCACAACTAAACCATCCAGCTCAGAGAACAAAACTTCATCTAATTCATCCACCTGAGCTACAAATCTTTTCCACCATCTCACTAGTATTATTATGTTTCTGATTACTAAGATGGCGAGTATCATCTATCTGACTACATGTGAAATAAAAATGTCATGTAAGAGATACATTTCAAGCGAGTATATCAACTAGCTTGTATATCAATATACTGAACAAATTAGTTTATGTATAATATTGATCCGAAGTTCACGAATACTATGTACAAAGTGTATATTAACCGTTCAGTCAGCTACAACGTAGGACCAGGCACATATGTGCATCGGTCCAGGCTGCCATACCGCATCAGCACAACTAGATGAACACCGGATTCATAGCAGTGGTTATGTCAAAGGTAGTAATATATAAGAGAAAGATTGCATATAGAGATATAGTACAAGAAGAAAGAATTGGTTCGTAGAAAGAAAGATATGAAGCGATTTTAATCTCATAGTTTAAGGGAAGACAGGGAGTGTATACACCGACGCCATTGTGATCGATTCTGAGCCATGTCACCCATAATCTCCAACCATTGGTTACGATAGTCACGCGGACCCCAACCAAGTAGTCTGCATCTACCAACATGGCTCAGACTAGAAGTTAGTGACTTCAAGCACTGATGCCACGTTTTGGTTTGGCCGCCCCTAACTTTCTTCCAACCATTTCCAATACCGGATAGCATTGCACGTCGTGGTAATCGGTGTTCAGGCATACGTAACACGTGGCCCAACCATCTCAGTCGATGAAGATTCATAACCTCATCAACTGATTTACCATCATTCCCTAATACCCTGCGTCTAACCTCACTATAACTTACCCGGTGATCCCAGCAGATGCCAGCAATATTTCTAAGGCATTTGTGGTCAAATACTAGTAGCTTACGAGTGTCTTCTACTCTTAATGGCCATGTTTCGCTGCCGTGAATTAAAACAGAACGGACTGCCGCTCAGTATACTCGTCCTTTTATTGATAGACGGATATCTCGCCTTCGCCATAGGTGACGTAAGTTGGCAAAAGCCAATCGAGCTTTTCGAATCCGTGCTGAGATTTCGTCCGATACCAACCCATTAGGGCTGATCAGACTTCCAAGATAAGTGAAGTTGTCAACGCGTTCGACTACTTTACTCCCTATCCTTAGTTCAGGTGTTAACGCAGACCAGTCCTGAAGCAACAACTTGCATTTAGAGGGGTAGAAGCCCATTCCAAACATCCTGGCCTTGTTGCTCAGTGCTACGAGAAGACTCTGCATTTTGTCAGCGTCTTCACCAAACAGGACTATGTCATCTGCGTATTCTAAGTCGATAAGTGGACCTCCTGGTAGGAGATCAATACCCGAGAACTCAGTCGACGAGAAAGTTATTTCCATCAGTAGATCTATGATGAAGTTAAACAAAAGTGGGGAAAGTGGACAGCCTTGACGGACATCACTCGAGGTTGCAAAAGTAGATGACGGTTCGCCATAAGCTCTGACTCGACTAGTAGTGTTCGAGTAAAGAGCATTCGCAAGGTTTATGTACTTCTGGAGTACGCCTTTCAATGACAGACACTGCCACAGAGTCTCGCGGTCTACCGAGTCAAATGCTGCTTTTAAGTCGAGAAAGACCACCATTGTCGGACGTCGATAAATATGCCTGTGTTCTAGAATCTGACGAATGGTGAATATGTGGTCGATGAAGCCACGACCAGGTCTAAAGCCAGCTTGGTTCTCTCGTGTTTGCAGTTCACGAGTCTTAGTTAGGCGTCTGATAATTATCGAGCCCAGTATTTTAGATACTAAGTTTGTTAAACTAATCCCTCTGTGGTTGTCACAGGATGATTTTTTACCCTTTCTTATATATTGGGACGATAAGTGATTGTGACCAGTTAGGTAGAATAACGTCTAACTCCCAGATTTTAGCTAAAACATTAGTCAACCTAATCGCTAAAATTGGGCCACCATCCTTAAAGACCTCTGAAGCCAATCCATCTGGACCAGCTGCCCTTCCTCGTTTCAGATTAACTATAGCCTTTTGAACTTCAGCAAGAGTTGGGGGACCTACTTCAATGTTCCATTCACACTGTCTGGGAATGGAGGGTAGTTGTAGAGTAGATGAAGGCCAGCTGAACTGTTCTCTGAAATGTTCTGCCCATCGTTCTAAACGCCTGGACTGGGAGCAGATGAGAGTATCGTCTTTTTCCGAAATAATCTCACTTACACTTGACTTATTAATTCCAGTTTCTTTTATTAGTCTGTAAAGCTGTCTTGTGTTCCCTATAGTCGCCGCCTTTTCCATCTCTTTTGCTTTCGTTGCCCACCACTGCTCACGGTCGTTTCTTAGACTTTTTCTTAACCTAGATCTGATTTGTTGTCGCTCTTCCTCATGTTCGGAACCTGATGGGACGAGTTTGCGAGAATCCATCAGTGTGATAGACCTTGAAGAAATCCACTGGTTCCTTGTAACTCTGTGGTTTAAGTCACTAATAGATGTCACTGCTGTTTCCACAGCTGATTGTATGCCCTTCCAAGCAACATCTGGGTCACAACTACCTAAGTGTGACCTCAGTTGTTCCTGGAACCTACTTTTGGTTTCCTCGCCACTCATTTCGGTTCTAATGGGTCTTTTTACTGTGGCATTTTTGCGTCCAGTGAGGCACAAGCAGATGCGTGCCCGTATTAGGGCATGGTCGGAGTCCAAGCAGGTACTCCAGAATGGGCGACAATCTTGTACCGACCCTCTCCAACGATGACTGATGGCAATATGGTCTATTTGAGTCCATCGTTGGCTTGGTGCAGGCAGTCGCCACGTTAGACGATGTCTCTCCTTATGCTTAAAATTTGTGTTTGCTAAAAATAAGCGATTGTC